CATCATGTTAACATTGTTCTCAAGGTGCCTGAACATTATGAAGGCTGACGGTAAGACACGGTGTCGGGATAAATCCGTGAGTTGAAACTTCACACGTAGTTCCACCTGTAAGTCCAACATTCAGTTATTTACACTGAATGTGAGTCAGTAGAGTTGGTTTAAGCTGGAGCGGTGACACTGCGATGGACAGATTTATTAAAGCTCTATTGTTCAGCTCAACTGGTACATTAGAGTGTGTACGTGCTGTTCTCCCTGAGGCTCAAACGGCACCGTGCACAGAAGCACAAACCCTGTCCAATAATGCAGAATTCTCTCGCCCTGTGTTAGAGACAATAATGTTCTTCACATCGTTCCATTTTTACAGTTAAATTGATTTAATTATCTGGTATACATTCCTCTTCAACCACTGAAATCTATTCATTCATTCAGTTTGATCGGGTCACCAGATTTAATTGAATTTTTAGATATTTTTCTCACAGATCAAGTTAAGATTATTTTATTTAGGAATCATTTCTTTTACTGACTTTATTGTGTTGAGCTGATTACTCACAACAGATCTTGATATGCCTGCCGTGCCTTTGGGCATTTTGCACACATATTTTTGTGTTTTGATGGAAACTACTTGACACTGTGCACATTACCTGTTTGCTAAACTGTCCAATGTCCACTCTTAGCGACCATAGCTCGGCACGACAGGCACATCGAGATTTGCAGTCCAACTCTTGTCTCTTGGCCAACTTTTGCGGCAGTCATTAGCAGAGAAGGAACTATGTCACGGTGTCTGTTAGTGTTCTCTCACCCCCAGCAGGTTCCTGGGTATGTATCCCTCGCGGTCGTTAAGCCGCGCCCACCACCAGTCTGTCTCAGTGTCGTTGCGCCGACGCAGCACCGTGAGGGCGTCGCTCTCGCTGAAGGACAGCTCGTCGGCTTGCTGGGCTGTGTAGTCCCAGAGAGTGTAGACCAAGCCTTTGTTCATCACGCCCAGCTTTTCTTGAACACCTGGGAGAGAGATACAGAGTGATCTCTGTTACAAACAAAGCTGATCTGTTTAGTTTAGTTGGCTCACAGTGTGTCTGTATGCGTCTACCCACCGTAGAGGAACTGAGAACACTGTGTGTAGCCCTCCTCCATTTCTTCACATTTGTCCGCCGCGGTTTCAACGTCGCTAATTGTCGTGGCGAAAATGGCGGCCCCCGACTCCACCAGCATCTTACAGAGGTGGACGCTGTTACATGAAGCTGCGCAGTGCAGAGGAGTCCTGGGAGGGACAACAATGAAAAAAGTAGGACTTTAAACCGATGTAATCCCCTGCCAGACAAAGTTCATTCATGAGAGTATGAAGGCGTTCCAGTTATGCACTTCTTCACAAATCTATTCGGCCAAACACAATTCATGTCATCATCAAACAGGCTGACATTAGAATGGACACAAACTCGGTAATTAAATAACGTAACTTCTGAATGCGGATCCGCATTAATGGTAATCTCTTCCTTCAATACAGCTAAGGCAGCCGAGTCAAAAAAAATGAATTTGGAAATGCAATTATCTCCGTCATGGTTGCCTCCGAGCATGAGCTTCCATCTCGCTGCCACGGAGCGTGTTCATTACCCCGCAGCAGCCTCTGTTCTATTATTAGTCGGCTCTATTATTAGTCGGCTCTATTGAAGGCATGATTAAACGGCTGGCTGGAAGTACTGACCATCCGTCACTGTCGGCTGCATTTACATTGACTCCGAAGTCCAGCAGGAACTTAACAATGTGGTGGTGGCCGGCGCAGACGGCATTGTGAAGAGGAGTTATGCCTTCATCGTTGGGCATGCTGGGGTTTTCCACCTTAAAGACACAAAATATATGTAAGAGATATTAAGACTGATAGAAGGATGACACGCGAAAATATCCGTATTGGTCTCAACCTTGAGAAAGCCTTCACTTACAGTGAACTGGGGATAGCGTAACACTTTTAGAACGGCTTGGAAGTGGTTGAGTCTTACTGCCTCGGGGGTTTGATGACGTCAAACTGAGCTCGAAGCGTCTGCATGTTTCCTTGAGAGTATCAGCGAGAGTTTGCAGTTCGGTGAGTCAGTGAGCACTTTTGTCCGCTCTCCAACTGAGAGATGTCGGGGATGAGACGGTGGTTTGCCTTTGAAAGATGTCAGGCTTTGTTCTCAGGAGCTCTGTGCTGCTGTGCTACAGAGTGGAAGTGCGTCCTCAACAATAACTTCCCCCCCCCCCCCCCTGACAACCGAGACCACCTCTCCCCCGGCAGACAGAGCGGCCGAGGATCAAAGCTGTTCTGCTTAATACGTGCTGTCGTGAAGGTATTGCAAAGCTTCAAAACCCTCCAGCTATCCGTTGAGGAAATCTGTGTGTGGGGTGTACAATATTCATTTACATTAATGTTCTTCTATTGCATAAGGAAATGTGGATTTTCATTCAACACAGAAAGGATTCGACGGCACAACGCTTTAGAAGTTTAATAAATTAGAAGTATTAGAATCAAACTGTGTCTGATGACATTCAGCTCTATTCGACAGACGGCCCAACATGTGAAGATGACATAGAGAGATTACCCCTCACTTACTCTAGAACGCTAGATGCCTAACTAACGAGGGCTGTCTCGATTGGCCAGAGAGTTAACAGCATCAGACATAACAACGCCTACAGACTGAACTGTAATTTAATACGTTGTTATTATATCTAAAATATCACACATGTTGACAACATATTGTGCAACCCTATTTTGAATTGCCCGTCCATACAGGAAGTGAATTTCTGTTTTCTTGCAAAGCACTGGATGGGTTTGGAACCACCACTAATGTACGCTTGACTCACTCTAGTATTGAGCTGTGCAAATAAACGTGGCCTGGATTTGATTATTTTAGCTCTGCACCCAGTAAACACGCATTCCAAAAATTTGAAATAGGAGAATGTACAGGAAGATGATCATACAAATACCGTGACAACAACGTAATCTTGTGTTACCTCATATATAATCCTCTGCACCAGATCAAACTCTCCCTCCAACGACGCGTCCAGCAGCAGAGCGAGAGGGTTGAACTTCACTCTCAGACCGTGGCCTGTGCGCTCTGAGGACGGCTTCTTCAGGTTGGTTCGCTTCACCTGCAGCGCAGAGGGCGGGGGGGGGGGGGGGGGCAGAACAGTGTTGATGGTGCCGAAGAGGAATTGCTGTTATTTTGGTTAGGTTAGGTCAGGTACGTATTACAAATTAACCAGACGCTATCAATGCCTACCTTAGGCAGAGAAGGGGGGGCCGGAGGTGATGGAGAGGGGGAGGCGTGGCCTACAGAGCTTTGTGCAGGACTACATCCTCTCTTGTTGTTGTTGTTCTGGTCCTCTGGCCTCTCGGGTGCAGGGGGTGGGCCGGTTTGGGCCGGTGGAGACGCATTAATGGCAGTATCGGCTTTTGCCGTCGTCTCTCTGGGCGTTTCTATCGCGACAGAAGGAGGGGACAAGCGGCGGGAGCCCGAGTTCAGGTTCTGAACCTCGCCCTCCGCGGTTCCCATACTGACGTGCGTGTCACCAGGTTCTACATTTCCATTCGCCGAATGGATGTTGTCCATTTCGCCCAACAGGCAGTCAGGCTGGTAGAAAGTATTGCCTGGAATTCAGAAGGAAACAGCTGATTTAAGCATCGCCGAACCCTTAAGATCAAAGGGAAACACTACACAAGACCAACTGGCGCCACCTTAACTGTCGTCACATCAGTGTCTCACCTGAGCCTCCTTCCATGCCTCCTGCCAATGTGTTGAACCTGCACACCACAACAGAAATCTGCTTTAACCGAGCAGCAGCAACCATGCTCAGTTTCATAGAAATGTGTTTTTAATGGTACGGTGCACAGCAGGGGGCTCTAAAACGTTTCAGGGCCCGGGACCCTTCACAGGGGAGGAAATTGCTTCAGGTAAAGAAGAATGAACTTATTGCTGTCTGTCACGAACATATCAGAGTTATTATTGGCCCAAAGCTAACGTGCGTGGGAGTAATGGACACAATAAGCTTGTTTTATTGACTGGCGCAAATGATCCCCATCGGTAAATATCCACTTTTGAATGAATCATTCACAGCTAATTATTTCGTGGAGCTCCTGACAGAGTGCCACGGAGCTCACTCTGACAGTAACTGGTACACAGTGAAGAACTGACCTCTGGTACAGCAGTTTTTGGATGTTTGGCCCCTGTGGGCCCTCGGGCTCGGTGATCGAGCTCCGTTTCTTCAGGGGTCGTGGGGCGTTGCTGAGGCGACGGCGGAGAACCTCCAGGTCAGCGTCGCTCTGGTAGCGTAGCTGGGAGTGGGCTGTGAAACGCAGAGGTGGGATTCTGTATCGTTTAAAAACTGCACACGTCTTCTTCTGTTGTTTTGTTTTTTGAAATGTTATTAATTGATTTTGCTCAGAGGATTACTTTCTCCAATTTAGTACAAAAAAAGGAAGTGTGCAAGGAAATGGTCACAAGGGCAATGAGCCCTTTAACTGACAAGAAAATAATGTAACGTTAAAGCAAGTGTGATTTATACTCAAGTTAAACGACAAAATCTAAGAGATCAGATGGAAACAGGATTATGGCAGCACACAGAGTGATTTATTTTCTGGTACCTACCCACTGGGGTGAGCTTAGTGGGACTGAGGGGACGAGGGATGTTGTCCACAGTGGGTGGTGGGAGGATTTGCCCATCGCTGTTCCCGCCTCCTCCTTTCCCTCCTTCTTTATCCGTAAGGTCCTCTCCTCCTGCTCTTCCTCCTCCTCCCCCCTGGAGGAACGGGACAGGGGACGGAGAGGTGGAGGAGGTTGGGAGGATGGGTTTACCATAGACTATGGAGGGAAGGAAAATGGGACAGAGGTCGGATGGTTTATTCATTGTGGACGTCAACATAAAAAACATACACCTGTATATGTGGCACAATCTGTAAAAATAGATCTCATTCTGCTGTTAAATGACCTGCTTTGACAGTAGTCCTGTTGCTGAGAGAGCCATAGTTTTTGGCCTGAGGCTGCTGGAGGTACATGCTGTAGATGGAGCTGCTGTTCATAGTGGCGGGGCCCTTCCTGGGGGACTGGGGTCTGGAGGGGTGGTCCGGGACGTAGGGACGTACAGCCACTGCTGGAGGGGGATCTGTCCGCTCTGTTTGCGGCGACAAGAGAGATGGCTGGGAGGTGGAGCCTAAAGGGAGAGACAGTGTAGGGAAAATATCCAATTATATGAGGAGAGTAGTCCTGAAACCATTCAAATTCAATGTCAAATGCTCCTGCATGTGAAATGCTTTTGTTAGATTGACCAAGCAGATATCATCTATAACCAAAGTAATAGCAGTGTCAGTACTATGTTCAGCTCTGAAACTGGATTGACGTGGGCTTAATATAGAATTTATAATTTGATAGGTATATAATTCATATATAAAAAGGTATAATTTGAGCTGATTATTAACTAATGACTCCACCTTAGCAAGACAGGACAGTTTGGAAATTGGCCAAACCTGAGGAATAACTCACAGAGTTTGAAAAAAAAAAAAAAAAAAACCAGGCTCTAGTTTATCCTCCCCAGTTGCTTTCCTGCAATCGATAGCTTGAAGTGCCTCCCTAAAAGCAGAGGAAGTGAGGGCCTGTAGGGTGAACTGAGAGCTGCAGTTTAAGGAGGGCACCTGAGCTGAAAGCTTACTATTAAGAGCAGATCCTAAGTACACCATCTCAAACGGATTCCCAGTAGCAGCAAAATGTGTGTCTAATGTATGGAAACTCTCTGATGTCTTGTTCACCAAGCAGCCATTAAACGAAACATGAGAAGGATTAGATACAGAGGATTCCTCCCTCCTCAAACTCGGTCTTTTCTGAACGTAAGTGTTTATTTAAGGAAATAATCAGAATTATGTAAACTCTCTTTTAGCCAGGTTTCTGTCACAACCAGTATATCGAGGTCAGTCTGTGATACAAGAATTCTCAGGTGCTCTACTTCTAATTCATTACGCAGACTTCCGATGTTCAAATGCATGAACTCCAGGCTGTTTCTGCATTTGAAAGCATGTGGGCTCAGGAAGACTTGCCCAAAGTCATAGGAGGGGTTTGCTCGCAAATTGCAACCTAGAGCTTGTTTGGGTTTTATGTTTATTACATTTTCAGGTTCATAACAAGTTGTACGAGAAATCGGCTGGCGATCATAACAATTGCGTGAGTGCAGGTCAGTGATTTTGACTGGGTTGTTCATGGGTTACACTCAATGTTTCTGTAAGTAATTGATAATAATAATTTTAATATACGTTAAGAATGAAGATTCAAAACTTTGAACTATTAGATACAGCCTTTGTAATTACCCATGTAGCTCTAACTCCATTTAAATAGGGTCCTTCCTATAATGTTGTTAGACACGGTAGGGAACAGGCCGAAGTCTTACATTGCAGCCCGTTTAATGGCTGTCGGCGGCAGCGTTCCAGCTCAATACTGGACCAGTTTGAATTTAAATCATTTGAATTGTTGTCCACATTAGTCACTCTTTAAATTACCTTGAATTGAACTTGGAGGGACGGAGATCCGTTGCTGTATTTGTTGTAAAGCAGAAGATGATGAGGATGAGGTGGCATTGGATCGGGGCCAGCCCAGCGTACCAGGGGAAGAACGGGGCAGGGAGCTGGTGGCATAGTGATGCCCGGCCGCCTGGTGGTTGGCACTGGGGTACGTACCATAACCAGAGGGAAGCTGATGAGAGGGAGAGACATTGAAATGAAGAGTGACTAGAAAATCACTGAAATGACTATTTTCATGATAAATTTCACTATTATCTCCCCATGTCTTGTGTAGAAACAGTACAGTACCTGTTCTGGACTGTTGGTCCTCCAATCCGTCGCATTCTTACTGATGCTCGGCCACGACGCTTCATTAGCTAAACAGAGAGACAGCATAAGTTGAGAAAGATTCAAACGAGAGAGGCAATTTAGGAGAGGAAGAGGCAAAGACACAAACTGAAGGGAAAACAACAAAGTAGCATGTATGTTAGAGGAGGTTGAAGTAAGTAAGATGTAAGATAGAGTTGGAGAGTAGGCGGCCCCTCGATATGAAGGTAAATTCATGTTAAGCTGAGAAGAAGTTAGAAGAGATAGGGATGCCAGTTAGTGGCCTAAATATTTAACACTAGCGGCCAATTCATCCAATTGTATTGATGGTGCCCGTTCTACTGTACTAATCTTTAACATGTTACCCGTCACTAACCAGGCCTAACTAGCCCACACAACCAACACCGCTGCATCATATTTCCTTTACGACAGGCCCCTATTGTGTGACTCCATTGACACATACAAGTACACAAGGAAAAACAAATGACTAAAATAAAACCATATTATTATCCGAATATATGGTTTACTCCAAGAAAAACATAACCATGACCTTCAGGCTTCATTACCTAGTATCACATAACAACTATGCAATATTTGAAACAGACTCCAGGTCATCAAGTTATTTATAATCTGATATGAGCTTTCAGTTGTTTCGCCTCAACAAAGCAAATGCTGTAAAGCAAAAATACAAGTGGCAAATTGCTTAACAACTACTCCACATGTTAAAATTGGTGATTACAGTGTATTCTCCACTGCAAACATGTGTTTAGCCTCCTGTAAAAGCACAGAGCTGGGACTAAAGTATCTGATCATGTGCCTGGTTGCTAAATGTATGGGTGGACTGTAGTCTCACGGCAGTTTAACCTCACCTTACCTTCATATCGCAATTTATCACAAAGCTATTTAGTTCTGATGAAGAAAGAAATATCAACACACCATGTTAGCGTGCTAGCAGGCTTTTTAAGACTGATACCAATATTGTCCTGAAGCTTCCGGCTGCCTACATCTCTACATTAATATCTACAAAGTCTTTGTGTGAGCACGCTGAGAAAAATAACATTTAACACGAGTCTACGCCCATGCTGTACTTTGGCCCGGTGCTGCTATGAGCTACATGTTAACTTCAGCATGCTAACATGCTCCACTGACTATGTCAATATGGTAATGTTCAGTGTTAGCATGCCAACAGGTGCTAATTAGCACTGAAAACAAAGTAGAGCTGAGGCTGTTGGGAATGTCACTAGTTTTTCAGGTACTTGAGCGCAAAACAAAGTATTGGAAGAGTTAATATTTGGACCTGGTGATGGCGCAGTAAAACTCAGGGGATCACCAAAGTTATTACAATAGATATTTGGGCCAAACAAATGGACAGACAATCTTCAGAGCCACGTCGCCGGACCGGCTAAAAATAATTGAAAAAGTCCATTGAGGGAAACGTTGGACACATGTCTCAGGTGGCTATAATTCAGCGTCTATTGTCAAAGTGTCATTTTGAGCTGTTACCTAAAACCATTCGGTGCCGCTGTCGGCGGTACAGCCCCGTCACAGTTCTGGCACATACCAGACTGATACTGATTAACTAGAGAACCCGGGAGTCCTGCAGGCAGGACGCTGTGCAAAGCGGTCACTGCCGCTGTAAACTGTTGACCTCGGGATGAAAAACGGTCACGACAGGAAACAGCCAGCTATGTGTGAGGTGGAAACTTGGCCATCTGCCCGATCGCCAGATTATAAGCAGTCACGCAGTGTCTTAGAGGAAACACAGGACAGTGTACAGCACGGGCACCGTCACAGCACGTCCTGAGGACTGAGGTCAGGGCTGAGGGTTTGTAGAAACATCACTACTCACGCCTCTTCTTTAGGTAACATGCAATGTGCGTTTTTGAAGACCAATCTTGTGGGGAATATGAAATGATATTATGATATAGTATTATGATATATAACCATATAGGCCATTATAAATTGCTTTATAATGTGCTGTGATTATTGACATAAATATCCATGGGTGCTTATAACTATGATTATACAGTGCTATAAGAAGATTATAAGGCAAATAAGTATATTTCCCAAAGTGTCGAACAGTTCCCACAAAATCATTTAACATTTAAAGATGAATCAATACTATTTTGAACACTGCATAGTGCGTACCGTAATCAGTTGCACCTACCTATCGTATCACAGGTAGACAACACTTACTGGAGCGGATCAGATTGTTAAAAAAAGGACAAGTTTATCTGAAGCATCAGGCTTTTTGAAGCGTTTGCTATTGATCATTAACTATGCCAATAGGACATTAAAAAGGAGAGCATTTGTTTGGGAAACGTGGCCCCTGGGTACTGTGACAACTTTCCAGCAGATATTAGTTCAGGTCAATACGAAGCCATTTCTCTCTCCTGCAGATTTCCAATGAATTAAAAAATGATTCACTTCTAATGCTCATGGGAATCCATGGAATTGTGACTGCTATGCTTATACTATACTAGCATTCATAGAGTATAATAGGTACACACACACACACACACACACACACACACACATACACAGCACTCATCCTGTTTATAGCTACAAGCGAACCTCAGACTTCCTTTCATTTGTTTGTTGTGTCATTTGTTTGACTGTTGACACGATTTACAACTACGTGTTTTCCACATTACATAAGCTGGGACAAAAAAATAGAGCTGTGGCATCTGCTCTGGCATTCAAGAGCACAATGGGATTTGTATCAGTGCTGGTTCAAGACACTTATACCCAGCAATTCATCTAAGTGAGCAGAAATGCTTTGCTGCTTCCAGCCTGCGTGTACTGATGGAGAACTAGAAGTGTCTGGCGGGCACGCTGCAGAATGAGAGAGGCCTGGTACAACATGGTCAGTGGTTAATGAGGCACGGCTATGTTGTGTTGACAAAAGGGGATTCTAGCTATTTGGAATGGATGTTGACATTAATAAGTTAAGCTCGTGTGATTATTAACCAGACTCAATAATGTGCCATGTTAGAGGAAGGGTTCCACATTTTGGGTAATACACTTATTCGCTTGCCGAGCGTAGGCGGGAGAGAAGATCGACACCAATCTCATATATTGTGAAGCTCCAGCCATCTGATGTTAGCTTAGCGTAGCGTAAATGGTGGAAACGAGGGGAACCGCCCGCAATTTACCTTCTCACACCACGTAGGAAGACGAGAAGAAACAATTGAATGTGTCTCAGTCTGGACTGTGGTTTGCCCTCGGTTTATTTTCTTACGCTGGGCTTCCTAACCCTGAGCAGCTGCTGGCTATCAGGTGTCATGTGACTCATGTCTGTGTCCGTATACACATGACCCTTACATTCTGAGGTTCGCTTTCTGTCGCTCATTCAATTATGTTCTCCTAACCATCTGTTCTGATGAGTTAGACAAAAACACAAACCAAGAATGCACTCTTTGATTTTTCAGCCCAGGACTCAGCCCGGGGGGGGGGTAATGTTCTCTAGCGCCTTCTAGGGACTCACTGTTGTTACTGTCGCCCCCCTGAGGGGACCGAGGGCCCTCCCACGTCTCGGTGGGCTCTGACAGGACGATGTCTAAATCTGACTCTTTCCATTGGCCGGGAGGCTTCCTGCTGCCACTCCTGTCCTCTTCTGCATGGCCACACCCACCACGATAAGACGGTAACAAGACCAAACCACGACGGTGACAGCCACCAAAAACGACAACAACACGAACATCATCACCATCGCGATGATGTCAAAAAACAGGAACAGGAACAGTCACAACAGCAAGCACCACAACATCCACACAATCAGCAACCACCATCAACATTAAGACGTGACACGACAACAACAACAGGTAAGGGAAGAGAAGAAAGAGGAGCCAACACACAGAAAGTTAGAGCGATAAGATATAAATGAAGCTCTGAAGTAAAAGGCGGCAAACAAATGATACAAGTCTAGCTCAGTGCCTTATGAACCTCAAACAAAAGGAAATCTACCAACCTGAGAGAGAGCGAATGTGGCTGAGCGGCGTGGGTTTGGGCGGTGGGTCAGCTGGCAGGGGGTACCCCGCCTCCTGTCTCCCCTCCGCCGGGACCTGGATGTAGGGGCAGACGGCCGCCACTCGGCCCGAAACTCCAGCACATGGGTGGGAAGTGGTCTGAGGCAAGGACGGGCCTCCTCCGTTCATGCGGCTCAACTGAACGCCATGCGAAAATAGACGGCCAGAATTAGATCTCAAGCTAACTTCGAACCAAGCGTCAAGAGAAAGAAAATACAATAATGAGGTGAGAAAGACTGAAGTGAAGTTGTGTACTTCTGCTCTCTTCTTATGCAGCCGTTCTCTCAGGTCTCCGATGCGTTGATCCATCACCGTCACCTGGGCGTTCCTCTTGTTCAGCAGCTCCTTGTTCTGGGCCAGCTTGCTGCTCTGCTCCACGTTGTGGCGGTTACGAGCCTGAAACGCACAGCGTTAGAAGTCTCACACTCTTCTTCCCAATGCTGGAAGAAAAAGGGGAACTACGAATCAGATAAGTTACCTGCAGCTCCTGGTAGAGTTTCCTCAGCTCCAGGGCCGCGGGACCAGACAGAGGCGATCCTTTCTGGCCGGCGGGCGGTGCCCCCTGGGACCCGGTGTGTGGCCCCTGAGCCATTGCAACGGGGTGCAGCTGAAGGCGACCCCTCCTCAAATCCTCCAGCTGCTGGGTCAACTGGTGAGACCATTTAGAGAGAGCTCAACATGAACCCGACTTAAAACTAACTGTTGCTTGATTTTGACTGTTATCCTGAGGCCCCACATTACCTGGTCGACTCGGACCACAGCAGTCTGCAGCTCCGCCTGCTTCTCATGAAACAGGCTGCTAACATGGTCGATCTCTGCAGCTGCACACAGACACAGAGACAGAAAGAAATAGTTCAATTCAAATGAGATCACTAGCGTTGTCTTTGCCTACTAATTAAGCACAGTGTTCCCCCACACCACTCACTGTTATACTGTATGCAATCATAAACTGCAGTGTGGTTCGGCTTACAGAGGTTTCCGTTGATCAGTTTGCTGTAGTCGACTTGTCCTCTCATGGCTCGGATCTTCTTCAGCTTGGCTTCTTGAGTGTCCACTCGCTCCTTCAGCCGCTGCAGCTTCTCAGCTTCAGACTAAACAAGAGGGCGAAGAAGAAAAGACACAAGTTTAAATACCATTTGCATTTTCATCTAGTGCCTCGTGTTTTTTTTTTAAAGACCGATAAAAGACAGACAGCGCACCTGCGTCTGTCCCTGATTAGATCTGCCTCCCTGGTGAAGGTACCTCAGTCTCTGCTCCTGGAAGAAGAAAAATAAAAGGTGAGGACTTATACAATTTGGAGATTTTAGCTCATTTCCAGACACATTTTCAGTTGCTGTGATGTTCATGAAACACTATTTTTTCAGGTTTCGAGGACACGTCCCCTCCTTCTACTCTCACATACAAAAGGTACAAACGTGTGTTTTCTCAATGACCTTCTTACTAGAGCGACGGAGTACGACGTGAACGCAAACATTTCCTGTTTAGGTTTGAACCGTTTCGATTATTTCACACGAGGGAGCATCACTCTTTGTGTTCTTTGACCTTACTCGTCTCACTGTTTTGAAATGTCAGTTTGCTGTCTGACTCTTGCGCACACACACACACACACACACACACACACACATACGCTCATTGTGTTTCAGCACAGCTTCACATTCATCCAGTTCATTCATCCCCTTTGTTCCCACTGATAAAGACTGTAAAAAAAAGAAATGTAAAAGACGGTAAATGTTGCTGTTTTTGACAGACAGACAGAGAGACAGACAGACAGACAGACAGACAGAGAGACAGACAGACAGACAGACAGACAGACAGACAGACAGACAGACAGA